TCAGTTTTTTCCAGGTCCTATCTCCAATACACTTCTTGTTACCAGAACATGATACTTTGGATGTGGATTCACCTTGGTGCAGTGGTGTGTCATTGTATCAATTCAAGGTCACTCTGACCTTCATTTTGACCATTGTTTAGATTTGTATCAAAGAAAAAAAATTGTTTGAGCTCTGTCTCCAACACTACTTTTTACATCTTTCTTCCCAATGGAAAATTTTAAACACAATACTTGTATATGGTGTAAATGTCATTTTCATATGTGTACACAGTAATTGCCAGATTCGGGAGATTTCATGTAGAGAACATGTTTAGTATCAAGTAGTATCTGCCTCCCATGTGTATGACCAGATTTTTACCAGTTAGCTATAACATCTCACATTCAATGTGCAATAAACTTCTGTTCCTTTGTCAGCAATTGATATGCATATTACATCATTCCTTCACTGTGCATATTGTCCCCATCACAAACCTAACATTATCTTTACATATAATGGTAATGTGTACATTGTGAATGGTTGCTACAACGACTACCTCACTACTTGCTGTTGATCTGGTCAATCATACACATGTATACCATGTGATCAGAACACAATAACAAACAAGTCACTTTTCCATTTGTCTTTCTGATTGATTAATTTAGAATTTTATGTTTGAAATCAATAATCAATATGTAACAGATGCATGAGTGGAAAGTTACAGGAAAAATGTTAAATATGAAGATGCCAGTCAAGTCAAAATATAGAACAGAGATGTTTGCTTGCTATTAAAACGTGTGCTATGGAAAAAAAATATGATTACAACAACCAGTCCTACAGCAGACAGCATTTTATAAATCCAATCTATCGTTGTATGCATGTTCAGTGTGTCATACAGTTCAACAAAGATGCTTTGCCAACAATGAAGATTACTGATTGATGTTATTGACACACTTGCTGAGTGAGCATGATGTGCTCTTCTGTTCTGATATTTTCACACTCGAGTGATTAATGTGCCCAACTTGTCGTAATACACTTGGTTGCATACGAGTAAACACAGAGCCGATAAAAAAAAACTTGCGATTTGAACTTGATTTTCCTGTCTAGAGGTAAGGTTACAATGAGAATACTGTAAAAGGAGTTGACCGATAAATATCATTTCATTTCTTACACTACTCAAAGTTTTAATATCACTGCTAGTTGAAGAAAGAACATTCTCTTAGCCAGGATAGGTAAATCCAGGATTTTTAAATAGTGTGCGATTTCCTTGTCACACCCTAAGGTTGAGGCAGGGTAAATCCTCTGTCAGGACAAGGATATGACGTCACAGTGACAATGCACTGACGTCACGTCAACAATTACATCACGTCAACAATGCGAAGCATCAGAACAACATACGCATATGTAAACGCATACAAGAACCTAATAAAGCTAGCAGGGTAAGAGAAAAATGATCATTCACCACTTTATTGGTGAGATAGGGTGATTTCAACCCAGGAGACAAGATGTTTAACTTCATCATCTTTCCCCTTGGGTTGAGATCCACTTATTTCACCTTCTATTTGTCTCTATCAGGAGTCGGTGAAATGCTTACAGTAAATTTTTGAAGGTTTGTTCAGTCATACTCCCCTGTATCAGCATGCACTTGTAACACATTATCTAATAGACACACTCACAATACACTCTGAAGTTAGACATTGGACTTTGAGATTAGTTTCCATTAAGCTGGTATGATTAACCAAGAAGAAACACTTGTTAAGTTGATACATACATGTACATATTACCCATGAAGTTACTGGAGGATGATGTTAGGGAGCTGAGGAAAACAATAAAATAAGGACTTTAACAGATGAAATCTCACCTTGTATCATACAATATTAAAGACCCAATACTTATAGACTTTTTAAAAATTTGTGTTATAAGATGAGCTTGTGATTGAATATGGTTGTATATAGCGTAAAGGTTTGATAAAGTTATATTCAGTGACAGAGGTTTTTTTTATATGCATACCAATATATTCATACGAAGCTAACCATTGTACAGCAGGCCATTATATATAAGATTGAACCTTTATAAAAGACTTTTTATCTTACAACTGCTTTTCTTGACCTACTTGAATGACCTTTTTAGACAGGCTTCTCATACATTGAAGTCGCGCGTACTGCGGGACCAACATCGTGAGGTATACCACCACACACACATGGAAGAATGTCGTAATTAGTTACCATAATTTAAAATAATATATTTTAAAAATCAGCATCAAAACACTGTCTCTGTTGAACCATGCCAATGTAGCATGAAACTGCAAAATCCTACATTATCATTAGCTCCAGCAATAAGGAAATATTTCTAAATGCTCGGAACCAGTATCTATCAGGAAGACTCTAGCAAGTCGACCTCACATTTCTCTTAAAAAAAGCCCAACAGCACACCTCTTCTTCCGCCTATGTGATAGATAAGTGTGTTTTAACATTATATAATATATGTTTTGTCCTATCATATCGTTGGTAACATTATAACACGATGGATGAATAAAAGGGATAGTGTATAAAAAGCCATAACGATGGTTTTTATCAAAAAGTATTTCGGACGATTTTCAGTATGTATTACTACACTTCTTGGCCAACACTTCCCTTAGTCTAAGAAACTTGAGTTTTCGCGTAATTATGGCCAAGGTATGGCTACTTGGAGAAAAGGAAATGATGTCAATAATTATGTGAGAATATCTTCATACTTATATGTATTGAAAGGTCCCATTTGTAGGTGGTAAACTTGACACCCACCCTTTAATGAAACCCGATGAGTTTTTACTGGTCTTTCCGTTCAGACTTTTCTTCTCTGTAAGTGTTTACTGTCGCAGTACTAAAGTAGACAAACCTGACTACTGCTCGAAAGGGATCAGTGTTCAAACAGTGGCAGTATTGGTAGAGATAGTGAAAGGTTGATATGTTGTAGATAGTGATCCTTAAAATATATGTACCTGTAGATATTGGATGATTGATGTAGCACTGTGGACACATATATAGGTAGTGGAGTCAACTTTTTTGGACTCCATATTGAGTGGTTAAGTTCCCAGATTGCTCATGATAAAGTGCAGAGTAACTAGTAAAATTCCTTGAAATAAACCTCACTTTAAATGTAAGGTATTTAGATTAATGTTAATACAGAACAATATCTACTTGAGTTATGGTTAAATCATTCAGTAATTTGAATACACAAACATATTTTATTTCCTGTTTGTTTCCTGTGTAATACATACAAGGAAAGTTGTTTATACTCATTTTAACATCTTGTATCCGTAATTTTTTATACACAGTGTTAATTGTTAAAATTGGCATCAACTAAAACTAATTGTCTATTTTGTTGTGTGGTTTTCCATTTCTACACTGGAGGAAAACAAGTACTGTATTTTTTTACTTATATTTACCCGGTATGTTGAAATTGCAAAATGTAGGGAAATGCAGAAGGCTGTTTGGGAATTGAAGCTTAAAAACCTCAAGACTAGGATGTGCTGAATTCCATTACCAGCTTATGTTCATCTCTGAATTGGAATGCCTCTTTTAATTGGCAATGAAGCACAGCACACAAAGTATTTAAAAGAAGACTCAATGGTAGCTTCGAGATTGATCCAAACACTAGTTTTGTTAATCTCATAAAACTAATAAATAATTACCATATCTAGAAGATGTGTGTGGGAGGAGGGGGGAGGGGAGTGGGGGGATATCTCCAGATATAGTATTCATGAGCTGTTTGTGTAAGATTTGATGTCATTCCTAAATGACTTTTAATTTGACCTATGGGTAATTTTAGAAGCAGAACTATTGTGAATGTATATTAGGAGTTCACTGATCACTTTCCTTGTATCTTATTTCAACCTTTAATCTATACATATATTATGATATAGCAATAGTGTTTGTCATTCAAACAGAAGCTGGCTATATTTAGTTCACTGACCCAAGTTTTATATTCAAAGCTTCAGGTTTAGACTGAATACACAGTGACAGCTTGGAGAGTACAATGCTTGCTGTCTCAAATGTGTTATACATATTTACAAGTTAATACATGTCATTAGAGGCTTGACAGAAATATAGCTTGAATCTGCATAACTGCTACCCTTGCTATATGTACATGTACTTTAAAATCAGGAAGAGATGAGACATCAAGATATTATCTCTGTGTTTGTTTGTAAAATCAGCTCAGCACTTGAGCCGTGATGTAATCTAAACAAAATGGCCCATCTCATTGACCTTTCCTCGTAATATCACCTTCATAGATGCATAAATTACTTATACTGAACATCTAAGTCAGTATCTGTTTTTTATTGGAAATCTAACCCAGCGACCATTACCCAGAAGAAAATATTCATCCCTTTTTTAATATTGTCCCACCTAACTACTTGAGATAATTTCCACCATATTTGATCAAAATCTGACAGTTGGTCTCCTAGAAGGCTGTGGTTAAGATTGAACTATGAGGCCTCATGACCAAGTATTCCAGGATCTTGTTGGGTCAGCAATGTGTTAGTATAGTTCATGATTCCCTTGTGCTCATAATCTTTGTTACAAGTTATTATAAGACTGGTCAGTGGAAGTTTTTAAGGAATGTTTACAGCTGTTTGACATGTAAATAGACAAATCATACTTAGATTATGTGATTGGGAATTCATTCAGTTTTATTAAGGTTATTCAGCAGAATCTTAAAACTACAATTTGCACTAAAATTATTGATTTTTCATTTTGCAACCAACCCCGGCCCCCGTCCCATTTTGACCCCTACATTATATGACCACCTAGTATTATGCAACTGACCATAATTTATCTTTCTGCAAAAATTATGCTTATTGACAAATGATCCAAATTGGCTCACTTCCTTTAAGGATAATTTTACCTTTAACTGCCCAATCTCCCGTTATAGAAACAAAAAAAAGTTGTAATTTCCCTCTGTGGTACATACCATCTAGACCGTAAACATCAATAACAAATACTCTGGTATAAGTTTTGTCTTCAATTTTGTTTCTTTCCAGAGATACTTTAGGAAGTGTATCCTCTCCAGTGGTGTTTTCTCATAATGATTTACAAGAAGGTAAGTTAATATTGACAAATGGAATGTAACATCCACAATATGTTAAATATAGAAATATACTGGAGACTTTGATCAGATAATGAAATGTAATCTTAATATGAATATGTAGTACCTGGTGAAAACAATTTAGATCTTAAAAATTACTCACGCAGGATCTGTATATGAAGGAAATAGCACTTCCATTATCAGTTATCTTAGTAATGGAGAAGTTGTTTTTATGCAGGTAATATCCTGTACCTTGAAGACTGTGATAATCCAGAGAGGAAAATGACATTTATTGACTGGGAATATTGTAGCTATAATTACAGGTAAGATGTTCTTATTGCTAGAATTACGGAGAAGTTTTTGTTGTAGCTATAATTACAAGTAAATTATAGTTACAGATAGAATTACAGGTAAATTACAGTTTTGACTAGAATTACAATGATGTCATTGTTGTAGCTAGAATTACAGGTAAGTTGTAGTTGTGATCACAGGTAATGTAAACATGTAGTTACGGCTGTAATTACAGGAGATAATTGTTGCAGTTATATTTACATGTAAGTTAACATTGTAGTTATAATTACAGGTATTATTGTAGCATTGGCTGCTACTAGGATTTCAAAAATGTTCTGTTAGGAACTAATAACACATGTACTTCAGAGGTACACATGGATCTCTCCCAGATTTCATTTGGAAGTTCCCCTTGGGTCCTAGTTGTGTCCATTTGATTTTGGGACTGATAAAAAAAATGGCCGATAGGCAGCCATCTTGGATTTTGCCAAGTAAAGTTTGTTATCGCTATTGTTAAAGAAGTACTGAATGGATCTCCTAAGCAAAGGGAACTTTTGACGCGCTGAATCCCTTGGGGCAGCAAAGAGGGGCCCAGTAGGGGAAGTAGGTATAAAAATCTAGAATCCTTTTGCTTTAGTTTGAATAAAGCAAATTTGTTCAAACAAAACCAAGTGAGTGATACATTCCCTGTGGGCCTCTTGTTAGTAGAATTTACCCTTGAAATCAAGATCCAACAGATTTTCATATAGATTTTACTAAAATTTGAGCTCGACAAAAATATATGTTGTTACAGAATTTGATATGTTTCCATGAACTAGTCTATATCTTCAAGAATTTAATTTGGTGTATTTCCTTGAAGAATCAGGAGTATCCATTTAGGTCATGTTTGTCATGAGTTTAGCATGTAATGTATATGTGTGATACTCCTGTTAGCTGGGAACGGTGGACTCCTATTAGCATCATTGTTTAGAGGAATAATTACATACACCATTGATCATTCGTATCAACACAATTATGCAGCAGCTGCATGGTATTATACCTAATCATAGAGCTTGCCATGCCTGTATGCATTTGTCTGCTTTCTAAACATATAAATACAAAGAGTTATGCTGTACATGAATTTTTTTTCCTGTGGCATTTGTAATAATAGCCATCATGTGATAACTAAGTTCACTGTTTTTCAGAGTTGTGCAATCTCTTAACCAAATGATAAAGAATTTAAATAGCAGCTATATAGACGATTTATGAAGCTTGTTATATCATTATGGTTAAACTTACAGACATCAATCAAAAGCTTGGCCAAATTTGACATTTGCTTTTAAATTGTTAAACGTGCGTCTGCAGTAAATTGTCATAATTGCAGTATACAATTTTGTAGTTTTTCCCAAACTACTACCATTAGTTGTTATCAATTATTCACCTACCACAGATAATGATGGGACTAAAAAAAAGGCTTGAAACACAAATTACTTTGGTGACACAACACCATATGATACTGACACCTTATGTAAACTGTAAAAACCAATGCATGGAAGAATGAGTGAGTGTATAGCAACAGTTAAGCTTTCACATCAAGGGGCATAACTCCCTTAAAAGAGGTTGGAATGGAAAAAAAAGCAGCATTATATTTTTTTTATGAACAAAAAGCACAATAGGAATATGAGCTTAACTAATGATTTGTATTTCAAGCCTTTTGTAGGTTCCCCTTGGTCCCTAGTTGTGTACTTTTGATTTCGCGAATAATTAAGAAAATAAAAATGGGTGAAGGCGACCACATTGAATTTGGTAGAAGAAGGCTATTGTCACTATTTCTTATTTTCAAAGGACATTGTCAGTTGTAGATATAAATCCCAGAAATATATGTGTGTAGTTCTAAATACGGATCTTAATTTGATTTGTTGTAGAGGGTTTGACTTTGCTAACCACTTCTGTGAATGGTGCTATGATTACACTCATTCAGATTATCCATATTTCTCCTACACTAAGGAAAATTATCCGTCACGGGATCAACAGGTAACTATTTTTGTTATAGTTTAACAATGTTTTGTTTTCATCAAGTAACCTTCCAAATTTTGCGAACAGAAATATAAGTGATTTAATTCAAATTCGTGAAATCCAAGATTTTTTTTTGTAAAACTGATATATACAACTACAATAATATTCAGAAATTAGTTTGTTTGCATAAAATACTTGTTTGTGAACAAAGTTAAGGAGATCTGTAATGGGGACTTTTTCTCAAACCTTTAGATACACTGGAAAGTTGGTTACAACACTTCTTTCTCTCATATCCCGCCATATTGGATAGAGTTTGCCCATGTAAGATAGCTATGTAAGAAAATTCGATCTTACAGGGGCAAACACATACGCGGAGTAATCTGTGTTCAGGGGAGACAACTCTTACAGTGTTGTCTGCTTGTTTACATCGATCTGTCAGCTGTCATCTGTCATCGTCATGTCAACAAACAACATTCAATCGAGATTTAAAAAGTTAGATGTTCAGACATTTATAGAGGACCGTGTCTCTGTACTGTTTCTATGAAGCAAAACGTCCAGAAGACCTCTGTAATGTAAATGACGCCTTTTATTTGGTGGCAGTTACAAGTGACAAAAATCCCAGTGTTAAAGATAAATGGTATTTGCGTGCCCCTGTGCGAAAATGCAAGCTCGATAATATGATGAGAGTGATGGCGAAGAAAGCAAACCTACCTGGTTGTGAACGACTGACAAATCCTAGCATCCGAAAATCCCTTGTACAGAAAATGACCGACAACCATGTACCCGATACCTTGCAGGTTTATGTCACGGGTCATAAAAACACGCAGTCACTGAATAATTACAGGACACTGAATGACAGACAGAAGTACATGATTTCCAATATGTTGTCAAACACAAAAAGCTCCGAATTAATTCCATCAAACCGAACACCATCCTCTGCCACCATTTCATCAACTTCAACAGTTATTAGGCCTACATCTGATGTCACAGTGTGTTTACCATCGTCATCACAACAAGAAAACACGGTTAACACCTACAATCCTGTATCACAGAAACAATCTGAAACTCGCATCGAATCCTTGTTTGTTGGTTCTCACATTGAAAATTGCCAAATCACTTTAAATATCACCACAAATGTTCCACCACCCAAACGTCGTCGAATCATGGTGATCGAGAGCGACAGCGACTCGGAATAGGAGATCATGTGACGTCACGCCTTGAATTTATGAATGGAATTCCTTTGACTATGGTGACGTCATGTCAGCGTCACAGTATTTTAAAAAAATGTTAAAACAGTAAAAAGATACATTGATGTATTTCTTAAAATGATCAACTTTGTGATTTTGATGATAAAACTATATGTTGAATTATAAAAATCCATTCCTTGTTGATTTCTTTGAAGTATTTGACAGAACAATTTCTTTTTGCGGATTTTTACTTACACATACTATAAAATCACACAGAGATCATTTTTGTTTTTTTTCATCTGCGAATAATATATTCATCCTGCAATATTTCGAAAAATGGTTTGAAATTTGACAGCAAACTGAAAGTTTGCAAAATATGGGTATGCTCGTTAAGAATATCAAGTTCGTTTTTTGTAAAAACCTCGGATTGAAAAAATGAAAAAAATGAAGATAATGGCCGACCGACTGTCTTTTTCCCAAAATTTTGGTAAAGATATGAGAGAAAAAGACTCTTTCATTATGTGAGCCGAGGGTTTTACCATATTTTGTAACCCCAAGGGTGGAATATCCCTATCCTACATACACACATATGAAAGGGTCTTATAGTCTTTTTGTATTTGATTGTGCCCCGAGCTAGCCCTTCGTCTAACTAAAGACAGGCTATAAATAGATATGTTATATATTGTTGCGAAGGACATTTATTACTGATTCCTTCAGTCTTCCTCTCATTGCATTTTGATTTGATTGTTTTTCAAAACAAATTGAATTTGTTATAAGAGAACTATAAACAATGCCATTTAGATACATAAAAATAGATGACATGAGATGAGAAAAAACAGATAAGATGGTCCAGAAGGATGAAATTGTTTTGTATGTTATTTTCAGTACACCTTCTTCCGTCATTACCTGTCCCAGCAGTCTGATCTAGAGCCAACAGAAGAATATCTGCAGGAGATGTACAGGGAGGTCAATACCTTTGCCTTGGCCTCACACTTCTTTTGGGCACTCTGGTCCATCATACAGAGAGACATGTCAGAGATACAGTTTGGTTATCTGGTGAGTTATATCACTGTGGTAGAGCTTGATTATCTGGTGAGTTATATTACTGTGGTAGAGCTTGGTTATCTGCTGAGTTATATTACTGTGGTAAAGCTTGGTTATCTGGTGAGTTATATTACTGGGGTAAAGCTTGGTTATCTGCTGAGTTATATTACTGTAGTAGAGCTTGGTCATCTGGTGAGTTATATTAGTGTGGTAGAGCTTGGTTATCTGGTGAGTTATATTACTGTGGTAGGGCTTGGTTATCTGGTGAGTTATATTACTGTGGTAGAGCTTGGTTATCTGCTGAGTTATATTACTGTAGTAGGGCTTGGTCATCTGGTGAGTTATATTACTGTGGTAGGGCTTGGTTATCTGGTGAGTTATATTACTGTGGTAAAGATTGGTTATCAGGTGAGTTATATTACTGTGGTAGAGCTTGGTTATCTGGTGAGTTATATTACTGTGGTAGAGCTTGGTTATCTGGTGAGTTATATTACTGTGGTAGGGCTTGGTTATCTGGTGAGTTATATTACTGTGGTAGAGCTTGGTTATCAGCTGAGTTATATTACTGTAGTAGGGCTTGGTTATCTGGTGAGTTATATTACTGTGGTAAGGCTTGGTTATCTGGTGAGTTATATTACTGTGGTAGAGCTTGGTTATCTGGTGAGTTATATTACTGTGGTAGAGCTTGGTTATCTGGTGAGTTATATTACTGTGGTAGGGCTTGTTTATCTATTGAGTTATATTACTGTGATAGGGCTTGGTTATCTGGTGAGTTATATTACTGTGGTAAGGCTTGGTTATCTGGTGAGTTATATTACTGTGGTAAAGCTTGATTATCTGGTGTGTTATATTACTGTGGTATGGAGATATACAGACCTCTGGGTGTGTTATATTACTGAGGTATGGAGATATACAGACCTCTGGTGTGTTATATTACTGTGGTATGGAGATATACAGACCTCTGGTGTGTTATATTACTGTGGTATGGAGATATACAGACCTCTGGGTGTGTTATATTACTGGGGTATAGACATATACAGACCTCTGGGTGTGTTATATTACTGTGGTATGGAGATATACAGACCTCTGGTGTGTTATATTACTGGGGTGTAGAGATATACAGTCCTCTGGGTGTGTTATATTACTGGGGTATGGAGATATACAGACCTCTGGGTGTGTTATATTACTGGGGTATAGAGATATACAGACCTCTGGGTGTGTTATATTACTGGGGTATGGAGATATACAGACCTCTGGGTGTGTTATATTACTGGGGTATGGAGATATACAGACCTCTGGGTGTGTTATATTACTGGGGTATGGAGATATACAGACCTCTGGGTGTGTTATATTACTGTGGTATGGAGATATACAGACCTCTGGGTGTGTTATATTACTGTGGTATGGAGATATACAGACCTCTGGGTGTGTTATATTACTGTGGTATGGAGATATACAGACCTCTGGGTGTGTTATATTACTGTGGTATGGAGATATACAGACCTCTGGGTGTGTTATATTACTGGGGTATAGACATATACAGACCTCTGGGTGTGTTATATTACTGGGGTATAGACATATACAGACCTCTGGGTGTGTTATATTACTGGGGTATACACATATACAGACCTCTGGGTGTGTTATATTACTGGGATATGGAAATATGTTATACAGACCTCTGGCTGTGTTATATTACTGTGGTATGGAGATATACAGACCTCTGGGTGTGTTATATTACTGTGGTATGGAGATATACAGACCTCTGGGTGTGTTATATTACTGGGGTATGGAGATATACAGACCTCTGGGTGTGTTATATTACTGGGGTATGGAGATATACAGACCTCTGGGTGTGTTATATTACTGGGGTATGGAGATATACAGACCTCTGGGTGTGTTATATTACTGGGGTATGGAGATATACAGACCTCTGGGTGTGTTATATTACTGGGGTATGGAGATATACAGACCTCTGGGTGTGTTATATTACTGTGGTATGGAGATATACAGACCTCTGGTGTGTTATATTACTGGGGTATAGACATATACAGACCTCTGGGTGTGTTATATTACTGTGGTATGGAGATATACAGACCTCTGGGTGTGTTATATTACTGAGGTATGGAGATATACAGACCTCTGGGTGTGTTATATTACTGGGGTATGGAGTTAAACAGACCTCTGGGTGTGTCATATTTCTGGGGTGTAGAGATATATAGATCTCTGGGTGTGTTATATTACTAGGGTATGGAGATATGTTATACAGACCTCTGGGTGTGTTATATTACTGGGGTATGGAGATATACAGACCTCTGGGTGTGTTATATTACTGGGGTATAGAGATATACAGACCTCTGGGTGTGTTATATTACTGGGGTATGGAGATATACAGACCTCTGGGTGTGTTATATTACTGGGGTATAGAGATATACAGACCTCTGGGTGTGTTATATTACTGGGGTATGGAGATATACAGACCTCTGGGTGTGTTATATTACTGGGGTATAGAGATATACAGACCTCTGGGTGTGTTATATTACTGGGGTATGGAGATATACAGACCTCTGGATGTGTTATATTACAGGGGTATACAGATATACAGACCTCTGGGTGTGTTATATTACTGGGGTATGGAGATATACAGACCTCTGGGTGTGTTATATTACTGTGGTATGGAGATATACAGACCTCTGGGTGTGTTATATTACTGGGGTATGGAGATACTCAGACTTCTGGGTGTGTTATATTACTGGGGTATGGAGATATACAGACCTCTGGGTGTGTTATATTACTGGGGTATAGAGATATACAGACCTCTGGGTGTGTTATATTACTGGGGTATAGAGATATACAGACCTCTGGGTGTGTTATATTACTGTGGTATGGAGATATACAGACCTCTGGTGTGTTATATTACTGGGGTATGGAGATATACAGACCTCTGGGTGTGTTATATTACTGTGGTATGGAGATATACAGACCTCTGGGTGTGTTATATTACTGAGGTATGGAGATATACAGACCTCTGGTGTGTTATATTACTGTGGTATGGAGATAGACCTCTGGGTGTGTTATATTACTGGGGTATGCACAGATCTGGTGTGTTATATTACAGTAGGGCTTGGTTATCTGGTGAGTTATATTACTGTGGTAAAGCTTGATTATCTGGTGAGTTATATTACTGTGGTAGAGATTGGCTATCTGGTGAGTTATATCACTGTGGTAGAGCTTGATTATCTGGTGAGTTATATTACTGTGGTAGAGCTTGGTTATCTGCTGAGTTATATTACTGTGGTAAAGCTTGGTTATCTGGTGAGTTATATTACTGTGGTAAAGCGGTGAGTTATATTACTGTAGTAGAGCTTGGTCATCTGGTGAGTTATATTAGTGTGGTAGAGCTTGGTTATCTGGTGAGTTATATTACTGTGGTAGGGCTTGGTTATCTGGTGAGTTATATTACTGTGGTAGAGCTTGGTTATCTGCTGAGTTATATTACTGTATCCTGGTGAGTTATATTACTGTGGTAGGGCTTGGTTATCTGGTGAGTTATATTACTGTGGTAAAGATTGGTTATCAGGTGAGTTATATTACTGTGGTAGGGCTTGGTTATCTGGTGAGTTATATTACTGCGGTAGGGCTTGGTTATCTGCTGAGTTATATTACTGTGGTAGAGATTGGCTATCTGGTGAGTTATATTACTGTGGTAGGGCTTGGTTATCAGGTGAGTTATATTACTGTGGTAGGGCTTGGTTATCTGGTGAGTTATATTACTGTGGTAGAGCTTGGTTATCTGCTGAGTTATATTACTGTGGTAGTGATTGGTTAGGTGAGTTATATTACTGTGGTAGGGCTTGGTTATCTGGTGAGTTATATTACTGTGGTAGAGATTGGTTATCTGGTGAGTTATATTACTGTGGTAGAGATTGGCTATCTGGTGAGTTATATTACTGTGGTAGGGCTTGGTTATCTGGTGAGTTATATTACTGTGGTAAAGCTTGATTATCTGGTGAGTTATATTACTGTGGTAGAGATTGGCTATCTGGTGAGTTATATCACTGTGGTAGAGCTTGATTATCTGGTGAGTTATATTACTGTGGTAGAGCTTGGTTATCTGCTGAGTTATATTACTGTGGTAAAGCTTGGTCATCTGGTGAGTTATATCACTGTGGTAGGGCTTGGTTATCTGGTGAGTTATATTACTGTGGTAGAGCTTGGTCATCTGGTGAGTTATATTAGTGTGGTAGGGCTTGGTTATCTGGTGAGTTATATTACTGTGGTAGAGCTTGGTTATCTGCTGAGTTATATTACTGTAGTAGGGCTTGGTCATCTGGTGAGTTATATTACTGTGGTAAAGCTTGATTATCTGGTGAGTTATATTACTGTGGTAGAGATTGGTTATCTGGTGAGTTATATTACTGTGGTAGAGATTGGCTATCTGGTGAGTTATATTACTGTGGTAGGGCTTGGTTATCTGGTGGGTTATATTACTGTGGTAGAGATTGGTCATCTGGTGAGTTATATTACTGTGGTAGAGCTTGGTTATCTGCTGAGTTATATTACTGTGGTAGAGATTGGCTATCTGGTGAGTTATATTACTGTGGTAGGGCTTGGTTATCTGGTGAGTTATATTACTGTGGTAGGGCTTGGTTATCTGCTGAGTTATATTACTGTGGTAGAGATTGGCTATCTGGTGAGTTATATTACTGTGGTAGGGCTTGGTTATCAGGTGAGTTATATTACTGTGGTAGGGCTTGGTTATCTGGTGAGTTATATTAGTGTGGTAAAGCTTGGTTATCTGGTGAGTTATATTACTGTGGTAGGGCTTGGTTATCTAGTGAGTTATATTACTGTGGTAAAGCTTGGTTATCTGGTGAGTTATATTACTGTGGTAGAGCTTGGTTATCTGGTGAGTTATTTTACTGTGGTAGAGCTTTGTTATCTGGTGAGTTATATTACTGTGGTAGGGCTTGGTTATCTGGTGAGTTATATTACTGTGGTAGAGCTGGGTTATCTGCTGAGTTATATTAGTGTGGTAGGGCTTGGTTATCTGGTGAGTTATATTACTGTGGTAGAGATTGGCTATCTGGTGAGTTATATTACTGTGGTAGGGCTTGGTTATCTGGTGAGTTATATTACTGGGGTAAAGCTCAGTTATCTGGTGAGTTATATAACTATGGTAAAGCTTGGTTATCAGGTGAGTTATATTACTGTGGTAGAGATTGGTCATCTGGTGAGTTATATTACTGTGGTAGGGCTTGGTTATCTGCTGAGTTGTTTTACAACACATCAGAGAGAAGACATATTGACATAAAGCAAATAACACATATATGACAGTACATCATTACATGTATTGTCAATAACAAACTAGTCAAACACTTACTCTGATGATAATAACTATTATAGTAATTGACATATTATAGTAATGGACATAATGTTCTTTTTCAGATAAATGCAACAACATACAAAATACTGTTAACTGTTACTGTCAAATACATTATAATATATTACAAGTTATTATCACCGATCATTATCGTATCATTGTTATATAATATGATCCAGTGTCCTACACTGTAATTACTAATTAATATATAACGACTGACATGATAATATTTTAGCATTTTAATTAAATAATGGTCTAAAATATTAATGATCTTGTATATCTATATTGTGTAATGAATTAGAGCATCATAGCATATTGTATTTTTGTACAGTGTTATATCACTTATATATATATTGGTTTCTTTTGGAATGAAGATTATCATAGAAATAATGATGTCAGGAGAAACATAGAATATATACATACAAACATTATGGTATTTACTGTAGCATACATGGCCACATGGCTTCAGTTTGTTGTTTGTCGCGAGGTAAAGGAATTTCCCTAATTTACTCAATTCTGTTACAATATGGACACTTAATTATTGCGTCAAATTAAATATACTTGGTTTTTTATGATAGTATGGCTCATTATATGTACTTCAAGAATAGTTATAAAAATGACATTTTAGAATAAAATGAAATTCATTTTCGATATTATTCGTTTTCCGTGATACACGTGTTCTTTGCTCTCTGCTGATATCTTTATCTTCCTTGTTCATTGTGAAGATGTTAAGAGATTGTTTATAAGGTGTTTTTTTAATGAGAAAATGAACTGCTTAAACTGAAATGTGCATTTATATTTTAGAGAATTTGTATGTTAATAATATCCAAGAAAATATTGGAAAATATACATTTTTAAGAGCTTGATGCAAAGTGTTATTGTATAGCACTATCTGTCTATCCATCCATTTATCTGTTGTAAGCTTCTGTTGACCAATTATAATTTTCTAAATTTTGTAGAGTTTATTTACATGACATGTAGTTTTGGATTTTGTGAATGGTACTTTGGTTCAGCAAGTTTTGGAGAATAATGGCCCCATTATTTTTTTCATAATGTAGTATTGTCGGAAAACCTGGTTTTTCCGTTGTGGACAAATTTCATTTAGTCTTAGTAGCTTTTGACATGACTTAAAATTGTACTTACCTGAACAGCATTTTTAAAAATAAAAACATTGGAAGAGTTATGGCCCTTTGTTTTTTTCAGCATTGCATATCTCCTCTCACAGTTTTCAACCAGTTTACTTTATCTTCACGACATGTAGCAGTTTTCACAAGAAGGATTTTGATTGAACATTTTTGGGGAGTTTGTTTACATCAGATAAAAGTTTCCACAAGTTTTACCGTTTTATTTTCTTTTGTAGGAATATGCTTTACTTAGGTGTGAGAACTACTTTGATCAGAAAGATCGACTTCAAAGTCTCTGTTGATATCTGGAAGCAAACACTACTGATCTGGAGGATCAACTTCAAACTCTCTTTTGATTACTGGAAGCAAACATTGCTGACCTGAAGGATTGACTTTAAATTTTCTTTCTGAGGACAGGGAGCAAGCAGTACTGATATTACTGTTACGAAACGATGACGAAGATATTGTGTTCAATATATACATAAGAGATGCTCAGAATGTTAATAAATCACACATTTGATATAAAAGACTTGCCACCGAATGTGTTACCTAAAATGATCTATGTATGCTGTGATTTTAATCTATATGTTTCTGTTATTAATTGTTGAATTATAAATTGTAAAGGTGTTGGTGCATAAAGGATATAATTGATCATCTTTTTAAAGCTTGAAATGGTTTACATTGCCAGTGTACAGTACTGATATTGTAGATGTTATATTCATCGTAAGATTCAGCTTGGTTCTTCATATATCACTTATAAACTTAATTGTTATCTGATCTCCACATGTGTTCAAAGCTGGCAAACAGTACATAAATCATTTATGAAATTTATTTTCCTGTTTGATTTTTAAACCTTATAATGGGTAGACTATTGGATTGTAATGAAGCCATTCTGATTTTCCTTAATTTGCTTAATATCTTTTTTAATGCTATTTGTTACGATGTGTAATGTAGTAAATTAAAGTGTTTTGTAAGAAAACGTGGTCTGGTAATTGGTATTTCCATTTAATTAACTGTTAAGGGATTCAGCCATCTGCCTTCTCTCCTTCCAATATGGATGAATGTGAAGGGATTATATGTCGTGATTCATAAGTAAATATTGATATGCCTTATAAACTGTCCACTCTTTAACAACAAATAAAGACTTTGTCTGGTTAACTTACATACTTATGCACTATGAAGTTTTAGAATTAATCAGTTTGTTGACTGTTGTAGAAAAATCCAATATTTCACTTAACAAGTAAAATAATAGTTTTTAGTTTATTTAAAAAAGTCAACACTTTTAGATTTTATTTATATGTATTTTGTTTAAAAATTTGATATTTATAGATATGGTGAAGTAGATATCATACTTTCTTTTTACAAAAATCCAGTTTCCAGTCACAGTATTATAGAATTTGTCCCCCATTTTCAACCTCTTTGGATGAGATCAGGTGATCTCATACAACTGAAGATGGTTTTGAAGTTGGCAATCACCAGTCTCTCTCTGAGTGTTTGATATCATAATAATCTCTCCCGAGATGTGAGAGACCCCATCTTACCCACAAGGAGATAAATTTTCTTTTATCAGGCTGGGCTTCTTATCTATCTTATGTCCTCACCATCTCAATGTTTGGATGTCATTCAATTTCAAAGATAAGTGAATCCCCCTATCTTCCCCTAAAGTATGACAAGCGTGTATACATCTATATTCAGGGTAGGAGAATTATTAAACAATATTATGTAACAACAATAATGAATTTCATTTTCTTTCACAATACGTTGTGTCATTCCACTCTCAAACAATTCTATAAATGTGCAGATAGTTTGATAGATAAATGATCTATACTACCAGTTTGTATATGACATTTCAGTCTTTTTATAAGTTGGTAAATTACTTTGTGCAAAAGAGTGCTTTACTTATCTGCAGAAATTGAAAGGCATAATGAAAGAAATCACAATTGTTTTTGGAATAATTTGATCTTATCCGGATTTCTATCAATTTATTGGTGTGATGATAACATACTCATTTATTTCTTGTCACAATGTGTAATGAATTATAAGATTTCCACTATTTCTGAAATTATCCTTTTTTGGATATAAATTAGCAGCATTTTGCCAGACCTAAGTTATGTACACCTTTGTATGGAATATGTCAATTAGTCCTCAGATATAGGTAGAAACAGGTCAAACAAATTTGTGATTTTTACATATGGTAATTCTTTCATTCTTATTAGGTTTTTTTTCTCAAAAGTTAAAGTGCATTTTTTTTTTTTATCAATTGGACGTACAGTGATATCGGGAATAACACCACAAACCATACAGAAAGAAAGAAACAGATTGCTTTTATTGTATGTTAACAGAACAAATGGAAAGTGTTTTAATGCATGCAATTTTATTTTTCATTAATTTTAACCATCTGTTTACACTTTAAGTGGGTTTATTTGCCTAAATGTGGTGGCTTTCGGTTAACCCAACTGAAATGATGTAGATGGCACAGATATGCTCCATGATGGAAAACTCCACCAGAACTGGATGTTGAACAAAATAATGTAAAACTGAAAATGCACAGCTTCGAAATGTCCAGTCGAACAGAAAACGATATATCAATAATAAGATACTTTTCATTTTATTTTGTACTGAATATTGTAACATTATCTGAAATATGAGTGATCTGACCAAGTTTTATATGGAAGCTCCAAAAACTTAAGATTTTCATCCAGGTATTTCTGGCACTCTCAGAATACACATGCCAAGTATTCTGAGCCTTCCAACCTCAGTCCTGATCTGTGCCTGGTGTTGCTCTTGGAGATTTAAACCAGTTCAGCTATAAAAGCAACCTTGTTCTTTAACTTTGAGGATTGAATGTCCAGTCGTGTAAATAGCCTGTCTTCCTCTCATTTGTCAAAATTGCACAGATATTTTCAACTCACTTTTTATGATATGAAGAGAAAAGCAATTAAGATCAAACAAGCATACATTATCATTACAGTTTTAGTAGTAACCTTCAATTTCAAAAGCAAACCAAGGTCACATAGTTGGTTTGTGTTCAGAAAAAAAGTAAAGATTTGAAGGAATTGCTCCACTGCAGACAATAAATAAGAGATTTGTATATGGTTAAGACTGAGATGTAATTAATATGACACGCAGAAATTGATTTCTACTAAGCGTAATTTCATTTGTTTAAAAATCAACATGTAATTACTAGTGATTAGGAAATAATTTTCATCTTCTTATATTTATTTTTACAATGTTATTGTACCTGTGATGATTCGTGATTTTGTTAAATATGTGTTATTGATTGTTTGTACTTTACAGCTTGCAATCCCTTATAATCTACACAACAAGAGCTATACAGTAATGTATTCTGATGGATTCCTTGCTGTAAGATCTGCTTTTTGTTAATGTAATGGATAAAAACCGGTGTTTTATGAAATTTTAATTTGCTTGATTAAGGAATGGTAACAGGATAAATAAAGTGAAAAGGTGTGATGTGTAATGTGATGTGGATATGTTTACACTGTTGTGTAGTGATAGATACTTCAAGCCACTGATATCATTGGTATGTAGACACTTCAGGCCCCTGATATCATTGTTATATAGACACTTAAGGCCTCTGATATCATTGGTATGAAGACACTTCAGGCATCTGATATCATTGGTATGTAGACACTTCAGGCCCCTGATACCATTGGTATGTAGACACTTCAGGCATCTGATATCATTGTTATATAGACACTTCAGGCCTCTGATATCATTGGTATGTAGACACTTCAGGCCTCTGATATCATTGTTATGTAGACACTTCAGGCCTCTGATATCATTGTTATGTAGACACTTCAGGCCTCTGATATCATTGGTATGTAGACACTTCAGGCCTCTGATATCATTGTTATGTAGACACTTCAGACCTCTGATATCATTGGTTTGTAAATTCCTTATACCTTATGTAGGAATTTATCAATTCTTATAATTACAGGATGTTGTTTGATGTGAGATAATTACAGGATGTTTGATATTTGTGAAATAATTACAGGATATTTGATATTTGTGAGATAATTACAGGATGTTTGATATTTATGAGATAATTACAGGATGTTTGATGTTTGTGTGATAATTACAGGATGTTTGATGTTAATGAGATTAATACAGGATAATTTTTGATGTTAGTGAGATAATTACAGGATATTTGATATTTGTGTGATAATTACAGGATGTTTGATATTTGTGTGATAATTACAGGCTGTTTGATATTTGTGAGATAATTACAGGATGTTTGATATTTATGAGATAATTACAGGATGTTTGATGTTTGTGTGATAATTACAGGATGTTTGATGTTTGTGAGATAATTACAGGATGTTTGATGTTAGTGAGATTAATACAGGATAATTTTTGATGTTAGTGAGATAATTACAGGATGTTTGATGTTTGTGTGATAATTAGAGGATGTTTGATGTTTGTGTGATAATTACAGGATGTTTGATATTTGTGTGATAATTACAGGCTGTTTGATATTTGTGAGATAATTACAGGATGTTTGATGTTTGTGTGATAATTACAGGATGTTTGATATTTGTGTGATAATTACAGGATGTTTGATATTTGTGAGATATTATTTTTGTATGAGAAGTTTTATTAGAATACAAGTTAAGTAGTTCAGTATATATGATGATAGCCAACACTTTGACAAGAAGAAATGAATACAAATATATTGAGGGTGATGTATTGGTTTACCAGCTGTAAACCTAATGTTTTAAGTGCAATGTTACTGCCATCTTCCCTGTTATAATGGTTAAGACACTGGTCCTGTTCAACACTAAGGATGTATACATAATTGCCAAATGATCTTGCCTCGTTTAAGAAAGTTTTAATTACCTTTGGCTATATGCTTTGCTTGTTTTATAGCTTATAACAAACTTTGTGATTTCTGTGAACGCTTTTTAAAGATTCTAATGAGTTTACAACTTTCTATTGTCTTCAAATTGTTGTTTGTATGCTCTGTTAGTGTTACTGGTGTTCATTTGTTTCATTTTAAACTATCTTCATATACCGGTTTATATGTATAATGTGTCACATAGTTAAGAAAAAAATGTCCCCCTTTATAATTACAGGGTAGTTATTAATAAGACATACAGGTCTATTATGCTTTTTCAATTGATTTTTTTGTGTATTCTTTGATGACAAGACTTTTGTGCCTTGTGTCTACATTACATAAGACTAGCTATTGATAGTAACGTTAGATAGTAAAAATCACTTACATCACAGATACTTCTTTCTTATCTCAGTACATGTATTTCCCTGTACATGTGTGTACCTGTTGTTTCAGGGAATATGCAATCACGAACTTCGATATGAATCCAAGTCCATGATGCAGTATATGTCACATTTTCAATAAGTAATTACTGTGGGCTTTAGCCAGCAAATATTGAAATTGTCGTAAATGTAATATTCTGATAATTAAATTTATTGAAATTAAAGAAGTGTCTTTTTGTTGCCATTACGGAGAATCAGTTGTTCGACTGATGAAAAAAAAATATGTCAAAGTTTGGCAGATTATGTGTGATGGGAAAATGAATTAATTAGACACGAAAATAATTAAAACATCCCAGAGTGAATTTGGTTTCCATCATCTCTATTGGTGGAATATGTTAGATTGGCAATCATATTGCTGTTTTCGAAACAATTTTTTCAACAGAAACGTAATTGGATGCAACACATAGGGAAAAGAAGCTGTTCATGATGTTTTCCTTTTGATCGATCGGTTAGTCTCAAAATCAAATTATTTTAATACCAAATTTGAAAAAACCTCACCTCCATATTGCACTATCCAAGATGACCGATGATCGACACGTCCCAGAATAACAAGAAAACGTGTTAAGAATGTTAAGAAGAACCTTTACAAACATTATGAGAGCTGGTTTTCTGTATGATTTGGGTGACTTCAGTTCCCTGAAGTTCCACGATGAAATTGACTAATGTGTATCTTTGCTAAATTCTGAAAACGTTTTTCTATGATTTTGACCAAACCGTTTTATGAGGTCAACTGACCCGAAGCCATCGTGTCTCGTATGTCGTCGTGCGCCGTCTGCAGTGCATAAACTTTCCATTCAAGTGACTTCTTCTCAATAACCAGAAGGCTCAGGGTACTGATATTTGGCCTGTAGCATGATGGGATGAAGGACTACCAAGTTTGTAAATATGAATGACCTTGATCCGCTCTCAAGTCACAGGGGTCAAATGTGTTGAAATGCATAAGCCACTTCTTCTTGATAACCAAAAGGTAAAGGGTCTTGATGTTGGGCCTGAAGCATGCTTTTTCAAAAAGCAATATTTTCGGAGTAACGGCATTTGTGTAATGCGTGTAAAAAAGAATATGATTTCAAGTTTGTAGAAAATGTCTTTATGGACCATCCAATGTCTTCTGTGTAAGATGTAGTTTAGTTTAGCAATTTATTTCAGGCCTATTTTTACCTCTTTCATAGATGGTCTTCACAGTTAGATGACCCTTAATGCCCAAGGCCTCTTATTTTATTATCTATACAATTATTTTTGCGTGATTTCGAAACAGGTTATAAAAATAACAAAAATATGAAAATTTTAAGTAGAGCCGTGATGTCAACACAAGGCCCACTCGTCGCTATCTACCGTCATATATTATATGGCTATATGTTTATCTATTTTTTATTTATTTAGAATCCCACTATTTAAACGGTTCGTCATGGCCAATTCTAAAAACGGTAAGAACTACATGTTAACTTTTTTTCCAAAATAAAATTTTTCTTTCCAAAACATGTACAAATATGATATAATCTTATATATACAGGTAGTATGTAAAATTAATTATTTAAGGATTTAATATTAATATACACACTCGTGTACTTAAATTTTATTACTTTGCTCTAACCATTCACGCTCATCTTACTCGCAAAAAAAAGGAACCACAGTAATATCCGTAACTCAGATCCAATAACAGGTACAAGAGTTTGTAAAATATTTACAAAATAAAAGCACTGTTTTGTTTGAAATAGTAATAGTTAAAGCTGTATTCTTGATTGTAAATTTGAAAAAAAAGACTTAATATCAACAAGACCTTCTCCATTCATCACTAAATTACGACGTTTGAAGATACAAAACCTGGCAACAGACATAAAGAAATTGACAAAAATACCATATTCGCATGTTTGTTTTTCTGTGACGAACCAAACAACAGTAAAGTTTCAAATTTTTGAGAATTTAGGACATAGCCATCTGACCTCGAAAAAAATAGTCCCAGTTAAATTTACACGATCATCAATGAACTGTTTGTCTCAGAGTTCCAGAGACTGATGGGACAGACCGCATCTTTCAATAGAGTCTGGGTTGATGGCATTGATCACAGAATGGTAGGATGCAGATTCTACACGCTGTTTTATTATATCCGTTACTTAAATATTTTTACTTGTTTGCCGCGAATGTTGATGACGTTTTAAGTACACGTAATTTTGACGTCAGGTATACATGTACTGGACAACTTTGGTGTAATGTCATAGTAAAAAAACATTCAAGGGAAACAACTCCAATTTCTTAACTACGACTGTTTTATGTAAAGCCAGTAATACAATATACGGTCACATTTTCAATAAGTAATTACGTATGTTTTGACCAGCAAATCTTGCAATTGTTGTAAATTATAAAATTCTGATAATTAAAATATATTGAAATTTAACAAGCGTATTTTTGTTGACATTATAATAAGATAACACGATTACCGCTATCGTGTACGTGGATCTGAGAGAACTTTTAAACACGGCAAAATTTCAAACTTAAAAGTGAAATAAGCACGTTCAATAGGTTGGTCGGAAAGAGAGGTAAACAAAACATAACGTTATGAATAATGTATTCTTGTAATGAAAAAAAAAAAAAAAAAAAAAAGAACATCCGTTGATAATTGAACGGATGGACCGGTAGTCTTCTATGTCATAGTGTTAAATTGAATGATCGACCAATATGAGATACGCGTCTGTCTAACAAAGCCCATTGAAAATAATCAATGAACACTTGGTAGAATGTATGGAACATAGATCTGACATACATGAATCACAATAATTGTGAAATCGTGTTTGTGTTTATAATTTTAGACCACGCCCTGCAGTTAATACTAGCGGGCATTGGTCACTTCACCTCTGACCATGTCGTTTTTCACTCTATTATTAACATTGAGGAGCGTTTTACATTTCCTTGGATCTTTTATCTATTATATATCACTTCTCGTACCTCCATACTTCGCGACAGTCATACAAATTGGAGCCACTAATTTATCAAACAAATCTTTTCGTGATTTTTCATATGTTCGAAGACCTATAATTTCCATAAAGATAAAACATAGATGTATTGATTAGCCTATTTCTCCTTGATATTGTCAGAGATCCATTACTTCGAAAATGGCGGGAAATCAACATTCGCATGACGTCACTTTCATATCATGACGTCACAGATTCTTCGCCGGTTCCGCGTTGAAGGCGACATCAAAATGGCGGCGGAAAAAGCGAACTTCGATTCTTCATTCAACAACGACCACAGGGAGGATGACATAGATCGAATGGTTGGAGATGTTTTAGAAGATTCGTTTGAAGAAATACCAGAAGCAACAGACGAATTTTGGAAGCCTGTCATCAGTGCTGACAGAAATATGAACAGACAGCAACATGTTGATGTTACGAAATCGCCTATGTATTTGGAAACGGAGAATATTGGAAAACAAAGTGAGTATCCTCTTCCGGCTCATTCTGTTATCGATAATAACTGTAGCTGTTTGGACGAAGGTGTCCCGTTAATACATCGTTCTAAAAGCGAAGACATCCTTTGCAAGAACCAGTTTGACCAACAGGCTGCATATTACGAATCATATCCCATGCAGCAGAATTATGTTACAATGCCAAACAAAAAGTCAAACCTTTCGGACTCATTGCCTTCAGTCGAGGGGAGTGAACCAAACGATAGCTTTTTGTTGGGGGATAAGGGATTTAAGAGTTCCTTTGACGAATATGGTAAGACGGTTGACTGTCTTGAAACTAAACACACTGCTGTAGATGATCACGAATCGTATCCTCCTATGCAGCAGACTCATGTTACAACGCCAGATAGAAAGTCAAACCTTTCGGACTCATTGCCTTCAATTGAGGGGAAGGAACCAAGCGATAGATTTTTGTTGGGTGATAAGGGATTTAAAAGTTTCTTTGACGAATATGATAAGAAGCTAGACTGTCTTGAAATCAAACACACTGCTATAGATGATTCTTTCAGTGGCATGCAGTCAATTTTAATGGAATTTGAGAACTTTGTGTCATTTATTGAAAACCAGTATGAAAGGCTTGAAACAAATGATACGAGGGCCGTTGACCCTAACGATGACGCAATCACCGCTACAGGAAATGAAGACAAGGACGTAGAAAGTGATATTGATGAAGATGTTGATACAAAAGACATTGATAATAAAGATCAAGAACAAGCCACTATTGAGAAAGATATTGATGTTCAGGTAGACAAAAGTGAACCTGGCCATGACAGAGAAGAGCTTGACAAATGTGTAGATACCACCATCACCACCGACACCACCAAACATATGTCTGTTGAAAATGACGACAAAGCGATAGAAGAAAAAGAAAAAAGCAACGATGATGAACACCTGAACAAAGAAAACGAAGAGAGACTTAACGAAAATTGTAGTGAAGTGGAAAAACAACACAGCAAGGAAGATGACGAAGACAAGCAAAGCGAAAAAGGTGAATGTGACCCACTCTTGGAAGAATCTGATGACACAAGATGTAATCTGGCTGTAGACATGCGTTCATTCTTGATGTGTCTAAATTCAGCACTGCAGGAGATGTTCTCGCGATTCCAGGACTTCGTTAATGAAGTCGGAGGTAAACTTTTTTATTACTATTATTATTTACTAATCAATTTAAATTCAAATATGGAACAAATATTGTCTTCCTAATGTTTTTCCTTTATATATATTTTTTATTATCAACTTACCGTATAGTTTGATGTTTTTCGGTGGAATTTAAGACTAGTCCGTTTATTTTTCTCATTTAAACAAATTTGATTACATGTGAGCACTTCACTTCTGTTGCTTAAATGTGTTCAAACATCGAGATCAAATATCATCTATCGAGTTCAGGGTATGGAAGCTTGTGTTGACGCCACCCTACCATATCTGGTACAAACACGTTTGGCACTTTTTTTTAACGATTTTGTCTATATATCAGACATCAAATACAAGAACATTATCAATTTTCGACAAAGATTATATCAAGATCTTTCACTGATAACATTATATTTTGGGACAAATAATTATCGGCATTTCCGCGCTTAACATTGAATATTCCTTAAATTTTTGCTTTTTAATGTCAATGTTTAGTTGGCGAGTTTTGGCGCAAAATTTCGTCAAATTCCTAACTAACATTCAGAAGTATAGTTGTATAATTTCGACATTTATTTCTATAAAAAAAAAACATGATCGAGCACTGGCTGTAGGGATACAGATCGTGTATATTGTATGACAATGCCCAAAAGGTTGTTGTTTCCCTTTGTTAAAGAATATGTCGTTTTCGCAGGAGTCGGATACCGTATGTAGATTTATCACTGTTTCACATTAATTTAGAGACATGAAAATAAAGAAAAATATGTAATTAAATAAATTGTATGCCTGTGGTAGCGAACTGAAAAAATGAACAGAGATTTACCTTGGAATACAGATATAAGCTATATGACGTGAGTTAACCTGACATCATAATGATATCGTGTGAGATGTGGTAGAACTTAGTCTGAGACTAACATCAATCAGTGTCAAATACAAACGAATAACAGACACGGATATTTTCATTACGATGATTGTACATACCATACAGTAATCATCATACAATGTACGTATATGGTTGACAACTGACAATAACCATACAGTAACGGTCATACAGTATTTGTATCCAGTTGACAGGCTACTGACAATAACCATACAGTAACGATCATACAGTATTTGTATCCAGTTGACAGACTACTGACAATAACCATACAGTAACGATCATACAGTATTTGTATCCAGTTGACAGACTACTGACAATAACCATACAGTTCATACAGTATATATCAGTAACGATCATACAGTGTTTGTATCCAGTAGACAGACTACTGACATACTGACATAACTACAATAACCATACAGATCATACAGCATATGTAACCATACAGTAACGATCATACAGTATATGTGTCCAGTTGACAGACTACTGACAATAACCATACAGTAACGATCATACAGTATTTGTATCCAGTTGACAGACTACTGACAATAACCATACAGTAACGATCATACAGTGTTTGTATCCAGTAGACAGACTACTGACAATAACCATACAGTAACGATCATACAGTATTTGTATCCGGTTGACAGACTACTGACAACCATACAGTAGCGATCATACGGTTATATATCCAGTTGTTTACGGATGTTTTTTTCGTGTAATTTTTTTGAATAAGTTCTGTTTACTGTAGATATTACTCATACTATTGAAAATGTACATTGTGGAAGACTTTCATATTTATTTTTACAATAGCTTCTGATAAGTAGTTTTTAAAGATATTATTCCTGTTGGTTACTTGTATCAAATAACGACTGAGGGCTGAAAAAAATCAGTTACACAGAAGTCATCCGGATCTGATCTTGGGAATTTCGCTTTTTCCCCTTTACAGAAACTGTTCACTTGGGAGCTTTGGCCACACAACACTCACAGAGAATGGATTCCTGGGCGTCTCATTTACAACGTTTATACAACTCGCTGAAAACGGACCACAATAATATGCAGGTACTTTGTCACAAGCATGCACCGCAGGATCGACACTATTGACTTTTAGTAAATATTTCAATATTTTGATAAAAAATATATATATACAGACTCCAGAGCGGGAGGGATCGAGGGAGGTCCGCTTTTCGTTACTTATAGAGCGGTATTTGCTGATATCATTAAATATAAACTTTAGATATATAAATACATTCATTTCAGTACAAGTATTCGACTTTAAAACACGAAACATCATTTTGGCCAAAATTTTATCCATTCAATATTTAATTCGATATACAAGTTTTAATAATGTAATGTCATAGCAGTCATATTTATCCATTTCGAAACATTTTCGTTGTTGACGTGCACTTTCTAGTCAATCGAAACAAATTCTATTAATCAGATAACACAGTCTGTCCGCAAAAAAATAATCGTTAGACATAATCTCTATGGCAAGTGAAGTTTAACAATTCATATTTACTGTTATGAATAAAAAAAAATCACCAGAGAAATTATTTTTGAATTCACACGAAGACAAGGTGTTAAACAGGTGTAAACCGTGATTTTTCGTTTGTTTGATTAACAAAACTTAGGAATACATAGAACAAAAGGAGAAGGATTGGGTCAAAATAAGGAGCCAATTACACGCCGAGCTGGAAACACAGAGCCACCAAATACAGGAAGTCATCACCGCCCTCAAACAACACGAGGATATCCGAAGGAAGGGTGAACGTCTGCTAAGTAAGAGAGGTAAGGTATAAGTAAGAGAGATACGATGTGCTATTGGTAAGGATGATAATACATATTTCCGAATGACGTTCTAGCAATTACATATATAATCAATAATAATATGCTGATTTCTAGCAATCACATATATAATCAATTATATTATGTTAATTTAATGAGTACATATATCATTTCAATATATCACATGGAAAGACTGAGAAATCAGAGCGGCGGAGAGGTGTCGGAAAAGCTCGTAAAGTATGTGAAGTGAAGCAACATTGAAGCTTGACCCCCCAACTGACCGTTGTCCAACAATATAGCTTATCTGTGGTAATATCACAAACATTATTAGCTGTCTGTACGGAACATATAATGTTTATGTGTATGTTGTAGGAGAAGTCATTCATAAGTTGGTAAAACTTACTGACTAATCCTATTGTCAATGTCATTGTCAATAAAATATGTTTAAACTAAACTACAGGTGTATTAGTGGAGATTGAGAGTTGGTTCGAAGGATAGAGGGGTCACATTGAGGAAAATTGATCCTCGTTGGAAATAGACTTCCGCATCTCATCATCAAACTAAGGACTGATCTATATCTTATTTAAACTTGTTCTTGAGAGGAAAATTTTATCAATTCGTATTTTCCTCTTTTCTCCTTTAGTTTAGCGCATGAGGCCAAATTCATACTTCGAAGTTTTATAATGAAAGAGTATGTTTGGAATTGTTTTTTGTTCTAGAATTAAAAAAATCTTTTTGAACTAGCTATTGATACAGGGCTATCTTATGGAAAGTGCTCAAAGGTAAATAGATCGCGTATGACATTTTTTGAATGACGTTGTTTCAGTTTTCTTTCACATCATTTTTCTTATAAGTAGTTTTTATAATAGCATAACTTATGGAATATAACTAAATATTTGATAGCTTTCCGCCGTCTATTTCAAGTAATCTGAAGTTCATCGCAAATCTGGTCATTTTCTGTCCTAAAGATCTGTTCTGAAAAAAAACTTTCGAATGGTAAAGCATTTCCGAAAATAGACAACTACTTGTCATAATTCATACTAGTGTGGGCACGATGACCCTCCTCACACCACGCTACTTATGGTGTCTATTGTATTTAATTACCATTACGTTGTACAGTTGGCGACAGACTTCTACGGAAGTCCGAGCTCTGCAAGTCCCTCGACAAACTAGACAATAATTTGGTGGATATTCTTCAAAAGAGGCGATGTGACCAAGAACATGCAATGGCTTTGGATTTCTCCAGACAACTTAAGGTAAGTCCATGTGTTAGTACAGAAACATACCTGTACTCACGTTTCTCGTGTTATTGTTGAATATTTATATGTACATTTGCACCGAACATCGCCGAGATTATTATTATTATTATTACAATCTTAACGGCCTGTAAAATATAAAAGGTCATTAGGGCTATCAACAGGTGAAAGACACAACGGTCAAAAAGGAAATAACATCGAACAAACTAAAATGTAAAAAAACGAATGCTGAAAATTTTAAATGGCTATATTATCACAAAATATTAAAGCCAAGATAAACCTACCATGTTCAGTGTTGGCTACTTTTTAATAATGTACATGTACTTTTAGCAATTTGACTGATGTTGTCTTTTTCTGATGACAGTTTGTTGTTGTATTAGAATTATATATATATATATATATAAAAAACAACAACAACATTGCTACATATGTTTCAGATATTTCAACAGAGAAATGATCAAAGCGTCTATACTAATGGGAAAAAATCTGTATTCCGACTGTTTATTTTATGAATTCATATGAAAAAAAAAGATAAAAAAAATGTTGCAAGATGTACCAAACTTTTCTTTTCAATGTATTTTCTTCATAATGACACAGTGAGTCCGACGATCGGTCAATCGGGATTAAGGTTCATAGCCTCAGAAAGATAGCCACAGGTGGAAATCTAGTTTCACGCGTTCAATGATGTGTATGGCCACCATTCGCATTGATGCATGACAAACATCTACATCATGGACATGATCAGATTTATCAGAAAGGGTTTTTGAATATTCTGTCATATACATACGATATAATGTGGCCAGGGAGGGTTTGGCTTCTGATTCTTTCCAAGCATGGTCAGTAGGTGACAAACCAAGTATTACAAGAGACCAAGGTAACATATTAAAGTTCCGCTGATGCAAATTTCCTCAATAACACGTACATTACGATGTCGTGCGTTGTCCTGCCGTGCAAAATAAAGTTACCATCGTTATCACGAATAAATGTAGAAACGTGATTATCTATGATTTCGTCACAGTAGCGCACACTGGTCAATTAGTTGCTTCCCGCTATAAACTTAGAATTACTTCTACGAGTTGCAATGTCAACCCGGCCCATAACACTGCCTACCGAACTGCCGACGCTGAATTACACAAACGTCATGTTCGTCTGGCCGACGGTTCACGCGAATATGCCCGTCATGGCTATCACGGCGAAATCTGGTCGACTCTTTGAAAAGTACTTCGGACCGGTTTCTGTTAATGAATCGCAGATGTCTCCTGTCAATCTCTTTCAGAGTTGTCATTCCTTAACAGTCACAATACACCTCTGTAAACGTTGCACGGACTACAAATACTTGACCTCGCGGTCAGGGTCAATTGAACTTATATGACGGCATTAAAGACGACACCAACGAAAGTTACCTAGCAGTGTTAACCATAATATTTGCGCTTTCGGGGAGGAAATGTGTGTCAATATTGTAGCCAAATTATTGTCACTTATCACAGATGCCACAGTATCGGAACATGGACCTCGAGAACATGCCGGTTTTTGAAAAATGAAAGTACAAAATGTTTACACGATGGTTGATGGTTGCTAATCCATGACTTTTACAGTCATATAAACTAATGTTTTGACTTAACTTATCATTTTCCAACAAATATTTATTTTCAAAATACTGATATGAATAACAAAACAGAATCTAATTAAATACTTTCTTGTTTGACACATATGCAGTTTTGAATAATCTTGAAATACTGTCAGCCGTTTACAGAGGTGTTATGTAGGGTACCGCAATGTATTCTGGGAGATATTGGTCTCATGCACAATCCTAAACGCGCATCTTTGTGTCGTTGAATCAAAACTTGAATGGAAGCGGGACGTCGAGAGTGGATGTTGGCCTCACGCTGTCCGTTCGTACTGTTTTAGAACTGATTCTTATCTTAGTCATGGAATGCCTTTCACGGTCAATGAAGAAGACTTGTTCATTATCTAAAATGCAACATTTGTTCGTATCCTTCCGGTGTGACATAACACGCGGACATTCTGCTCGTTGGCGGTCCGTGATACTACCAATAAACGCATTAAATTTCCCATATTCAATCAAACAAGCTTTAAATACGTCAAAAATATATATTTTGAAATCATCCCAGAGGAAAAAGGCTCTGGTTATTTTCAGTTTACAATTCTGTAGTACTATGTTGTTCACTGTCTGTGTTATTGCCAATACTAGTGTAAAGAACATTTTTCTTCTGTTAGGAAACAACATTTACATGTACGAAAATACAATCTAGAACGAGTTTGTGTATAATGATTATGTCCGAATTTGGTTGTCCGATTTCTGTTTTGTTTTTGTTTTTTAGCATTCATAAGTGTATGCCATATGCAAAGCACAAGTAAAATTGTGACAACTAATTTATAAATGATCGTGTGATTGAATCGGTAGATAGCGGAGCTGAAGATGGTCCTGGTCAGACAACAGAGTTACATTCAGAGACTCGAACTACAGAATAAGGAGCTGGACGGTGTCCTTAGAGGGGTGCTCTTTGACCCCGACACAGAACAGGTAAATCGGAACTTCAAACTTAATACAAAAACGCGAAACAGGTATGTCAGAACTCGAACCTCAACAAACACACTGACACGGGACAGATATGTCAGAACTCGAACCTCAACAAACACACTGACACGGGAAAGATATGTCTGAACTCAGACCGCAACAAACACACTGAAACGGGACAGGTATGTCTGAATTATGACCGTAACAAACACATTGACACGGGACAGATATGTCTGAACTCTTATCTTAACAAACACATTGACACGGGACAGGTATGTCTGAACTCCAACCCTGACAAACACATTGACACGGGACAGATGTCTGACATCTTACCTTAACAAACACATTGACACGGGACAGGTATGTCTGAACTCTTATCTTAACAAACACATTGACACGGGACAGATATGTCAGAACTCCAACCCTGACAAACACATTGACACGGGACAGATGTCTGAGCTCTTACCTTAACAAACACATTGACACGAGACGGGTATGTCTGAACTCTTACCTTAACAAACACATTGACACGGGACAGGTATGTCTGACCTCTTACCTTAACAAACACATTGACACCTGACAGGTATGTCTGAACTCTTACCTTAACAAACACATTGACACGGGACAGGTATGTCTGAACTCAGACCGCAACAAACACACTGACACGGGGCAGATATGTCTGAACTCTTATCTTAACAAACACATTGACACGGGACAGGTATGTCTGACCTCTTACCTTAACAAACACATTGACACGGTACAGATATGTCAGAACTCCAACCCTGACAAACACATTGACACGGGACAGGTATGTCTGAACTCAGACCGCAACAAACACATTGACACGGGACAGATATGTCAGAACTCTTATCTTAACAAACACATTGACACGGGACAGGTATGTCTGAACTCTGACCGTAACAAACACATTGACACGGGACAGGTATGTCTGAACTCAGACCGCAACAAACACATTGACACGGGACAGGTATGTCTGAATTATGACCGTAACAAACACATTGACACGGGACAGATATGTCAGAACTCTTATCTTAACAAACACATTGACACGGGACAGGTATGTCTGAACTCTTACCTTAACAAACACATTGACAAGGGACAGATATGTCAGAACTCCAACCCTGACAAACACATTGACACGGGACAGATGTCTGACCTCTTACCTTAACAAACACATTGACACGGGACAGGTATGTCAGAACTCCAACCCTGAAAAACACATTGACACGGGACAGATGTCTGACCTCTTACCTTAACAAACACATTGACACGGGACAGATGTCTGACCTCTTACCTTAACAAACACATTGACACGGGACAGGTATGTCTGACTTCTTACCTTAACAAACACATTGACACCTGACAGGTATGTCTGATCTCTTTCCCTAACAAACACATTGACACGGGACAGGTATGTCTGACCTCTTACCTTAACAAACACACTGACACGGGGTAGATATGTCAGAACTCTTACCTTAACAAACACACTGACACGGGGCAGATATGTCTGAACTCTGACCGTAACAAACACACTGACATGGGACAGGTATGTCTGAACCCTGACCGTAACAAACACATTGACGCGGAACATGTACTTCAGAACTCCAACCATAACAAACACACTGACACGGAACATGTCTGTCAGAACTCTAACCTTAACAAACACATTGAAGCGGAACATGTAGAAAGTAGGTTCTCATTGTCGTGTTTAATATTGCATTCCAGTTCAGCGGAAACTACTTTGCACGGAACCCTTCACAAACTGGCGAGAGTTTTAACACCATGACAGATATACTCCATTGTGATAATGCTAGCTATCTCCCCGGAAAGTCAACAGATCCCGATATTGTAGGCTCACAGACATTTGATATCGGTAAGTGTTTAATAGTGATATATGATGTTAAAATATTGTCCATCATTTTGTCCATCATTTTGTATGATATAGCTACGGGAACGTCTACAAATATTGATTTGCAACAACCTTGTGGTTTGGATTTGACTTTCACTTCCACAATATCCTTGCTGATTTCGCAGTTGCCAGGGTAAGTTGCCAACTGGCATTTGTTTCATCATAATTTAACAAGGTACAAATGGAAAGGAGAAATCTGATTTTAGATTCGATTTACATTAGATTGAAAGACAATTTGATGAAACTTCTTATTTTCTTAGTTAAATACTATTCAGGATTTTGTTTTATGTTCATCAATGTGTGTTATAGAAGTGCCTTTTGCTATGATGGAAATATAAAGTGTTATGTTACCTCGAACAAACGAAAAATAAAGCAAAGGCACTTATTTCGCTGTTCCTAAACTCCATCCACTTTTAATATATCAACACAATTTAAATACATATCGATCTTCTAGTCTGGTAGCCGTTTTTGTCTAACATCAATCGTCTGTATAATTGTGCTCTGATACATATACATCTTTACATCCGGGTACTCTACAATGTTGTCGACTTCAGGCATGGCGACTATCAATTTCGGAATATAGTGAATACAGTTGTCGTTTGTTCTGCACATGCAGAGCTCAAACGACTTTATTTTCCCTTTTTATTAATTTTATCAAACTCTGACACTACATAGCTTCTTATGCGAAGGAAACCGACTTCAGTTGATTGCTCTATTTCAAGGTCCAAAACCGCAACGCCTTTCTGCAGAGATGGAGATGGTGTTTGACCCCAAAATGCTGAAGTACATGTGCCAAGAAACACTAGCAGCTATTAATTCCGACATGGCCGAGATAGGCTCTGGTGAAAAGGTCAAACAGGGATGTGACCCGGAAATGATTCAAGCAATTGAAGTCGAGGCGAAGGATATCAATAACTCTCGTACTGAAAAAGAACCAACAAAGGCAAAAACGGAACCAACAGAACATTCACCGGAGCCGGTCTTAGACCTGAACGGCAACATTAATCTTTCATTGATTTAGAATGATGCAAATGCACACGAGAAACTTCCTCAAAAGTATATAACTTTCTGTGTTGTTTTAATGTTTAAGTCATTTCAAATTGTTAAATGATGTGTTCTTGCATGGTAATTGAACTTTCATGGTAACCGTGGATACCGTTATAGATGTTTTCTGAAAACTGTTGAATTTTTGTAATACAGTGTTATAACAGTGCTAAGTACTTACAGTACTGTAATGAATGCATCGAGGTGAATGTTTATAGTGAAATCGATCCACATTGATACGTGTTAACTAATTGTAGTGCATGAAAATATTGATATTGTATAAAGATGAAGATTTATCTTAAATTTCATCAATAGTCAAGGTATGAGCTCACGCTGTCCATTAAATTAACGTTTAGTGTGTACGCAACCATTGTACATTGTTTATATAATGTATTGTTAACTGTAATCAATCAGACAAATATTGTTTTGATGAATTGATATAATTCATATTCTGATATACTGTATGAATAAACTATATAACTTTCTCACACTGAAACATACTATTCAATAAATTTAGACGGTTTTCTGTACATAACGCAACTTCAGCGAACACTTTTACAAAATGTTAAAACAGCCGTTACTTTCGGAGACAAATTCTTGTCTTACAGACCCATCAAATCAAAGGAACAGACCATTGGAAATAATTAACTTTTTCATTGTATGTTTGAAATTACATAAATATTGATCCATGATTACTCTTGCAGTCTGACAAAAAAGTTCTCGATGACCATGAAAGAAATGAATCTAAATGTTTCCGAGTGTTGGGGATACATGCATTGTTATGGCATTCCAATCAATGGTTTAGATGATCCGTCAAAGTTTACTGGTTTACAAACCGATCCCACTAACCTTACTATAGACCAAGCATACATACAAACGTAAATGATATGCAAATTGATTTCAATTGACATATCTGACATCAATATATAGACAGACATTGAAGGTTGAATGAATTGGAGATTACCAAGATTTCTTATCCATTTACTAAACAGAAAAGGATTATCCAACAAGCGGCCCTTCGATATCATATCGAAGTTGTCTACATTGTCAAAAAAAATTGTAATATAATAGTAATATTGTTATACTATATCATACAAATCAAGAAATACTATCACACAGCTGTAATATACCGTTCAAATCAAGAAATATTATCACACAGCTATAATATACCGTTCAATTCAAGAAATATTATCACACAGCCAAAATATACGTACAAATCCAGAAATACTATCACACAGCTATAATATACAGTACAAATCAAGAAATACTATCACACAGCTATAATATACAGTACAGACATAGTACCTCACAGCTATACTATACTATACAAGTACAGACATAGTACCTCACAGCTATACTATACTATACAAGTACAGACATAGTACCTCACAGCTATACTATCCTAAACAAGTACAGACATAGTACCTCACAGCTATACTATCCTAAACAAGTACAGACATAGTACCTCACAGCTATACTATCCTAAACAAGTACAGACATAGTACCTCACAGCTATACTATCCTAAACAAGTACAGACATAGTACCTCACAGCTATACTATCCTAAACAAGTACAGACATAGTACCTCACAGCTATACTATCCTAAACAAGTACAGACATAGTGCCTCGCAGCTATACTATCCTATACAAGTACAGACTTAGTACCTCACAGCTATACTATCCTATACAAGTACAGACATAGTACAAGTATACAGACAGACATAGTACCTCACAGCTATACTATCCTATACAAGTACAGACATAGTACCTCACAGCTATACTATTTCATACAAGTACAGACATAGTACCTCACAGCTATACTATCCTAAACAAGTACAGACATAGTACCTCACAGCTGTACTTTCTCATACAAGTACAGACATAATACCTCACAGCTATACCATCTCATACAAGTACAGACATGGTACCGTGCAGCTTTATTATCCTAAGCAAGTGCAGACATAGTATTGTACAGCTATGCTATGTATTATTGTGACGATATCACAAGAACAATGACAAATTAGAATGTAAACAAAGTAATATAAATGATCGATATCTTGCTCAATATCGTTTTTACCAAGAGAGTAACAGTAATGTTATCACTGTCCATGCTAAGTCGCTTCCATTAGCGCTGTAGAATTGAAAGTTGAGACACTTAAGGAACTTGATCAACAAACCAGTCTATCGCGACATAATCTACATGGCTACCTCTGTGTTCATGCTTCCCGATCGTCCAGCGTGTTTCCTTCATCTCGCCGTTGGTTGTAAGAATCAATATTCTCCAAAACGGAATAAAGCTGTTGTCATTGTCGTCGAATTTCACCAACCGAAAAAATTGAGCAGCAATGTTTCCGTCGGTGTTCACTTGGATATTGTCTGCGGTTATAATGAGGCTCTCTGTAGGCGACTGTTTAACGATACAGCGCAATCGCGATCCAGAACGAACAGCTTCTGTCAAGTCAAGTTTGGATCCGTGAATAGCAGTTCCACTTGAATCTGTACCGAGAACCAGACTCCATGTTCTAGTGTCAATAAACCACGAAGTAGCCATATTGGATTCTTTAGATTCCACCCTCAACGAGGTGCCGAGATAATACATATCCGTTAACATATCTCCCTTCGTAGATATTCTGACAAATTTGATTATGACATTTCCGACGTTCTGTTGAGTTTGTGTCTTTGATACAACCTGACTAAGTAGCTGGACAGTGACTAGCCCGTCCTGAATCACAATGTTGTCAGCTTCCATTGCATAACCGTCAAATACGATTCTCACTCTCCTACCAAGTCGTATCATGTTAATCAGTTCTTGTTTAGAACCAAGAGTTGTACCACCGTTGACATCATGAGTAAAACTGTGAGTCCAACAGTAGTCAACAAACCAATTATTGCCTGATGTGTCTGAAAAAATTTGAGGCCCAGCTGTACCAGAACCAATGTCTGGAAAAGAAGTTTCTTTGGAGCCAGAAGTGGATTTCAGCGTCACGATCCAACGGAAAGGTGTTGTATACCACTTGGTGTAATCCGTAGTTCCTTTAAACGACGCAACTCTCCAAACAGTTTGAATCGCAATTCCACAGTTACCATTAAACACTTCAACGCGATTGGCTGAATAAACAATTTGTGTTGTACTACCAGGGTTTTCCACTATTTTGATGCCCATTCCTTCTTTCGCGGCATCAGTTAAGTTGTACAGGTCACCGCAATTAGAAGATCCGTCGGCCAAATTGCAATACAAAGGATTCATCTGAGATTCGCTTTGCCGCAATCGTCTAAAAAGTGTTTTAAGAACATCAGTGATTTACTCTACTAGTAAAATTATTAGTCACCAAGTCTATACTCTTCTTCCTTGATATCTTTCGATATTACACACTTGATGTTTTCTCATCATTATACACAGTATACTTTAAAGTTACTGACACTATCATGATTGTCGTCAGTTGATTCATTATAGATATATCATAGATAACGCATCGATGTTTCATAAAATTAATATATCAGATGATGTTAGCTCAATAATACGAAAGCCTAGAAAGGTCAAATTTCGAAGGGAAAAAAAATAAAAAAAATCGTACTCCCGTTATTACGACTTCTGAAAAGGCGTCATTACGTTTTTATTCGCGTAATAAAGCAATTTAATTTTTTCCCTTCGAAATTTGACCTTTCTTGGCTTTCGTACAATAATTTTAATTTCCAATTTTTTAGAAATATTTTGTAGATAGAAGTACTTTTGCTGAAAACATAGTTACCTGTTAAACCAAATAGAACGCATGCCTTTATGTGATGAGGTGGATGGCGTTTCTGATTTACCAAGATAAATTCTGCCATATTCCACCACGCCATGCTCACACACTTTGATGAATTCCCAGTACATATCAGGCTCAAAAGTGTCCCAGCTGCTCTTTGATAGACCGAATACAGATGATGTGCAAACGACGCCGTTTATGATTATTATATCGTCGACCTCTATATAAAAATCAGGTACCAGTTGTATTCTTAAGTCGTCACCCTTTAGTGCAGCATTAAGCACGTCCGATTTGGAGCCGTACAGGACACTGCCGTCTGCGTTCACCTCGTACAGAACTTCCCAAGTTTCATTGCAGCTGACTATAACATAAACAAGAGACCAACAGGCATTAGTGGTCACCTGAGTGACAACTTTCTGTGTGCATAAAATTAAACCGCCAGCCCATATTAATAATGTGACCAAGTTTGAATTGTTGCCATTGAAAATTAAAATAAATGATGTGTAAATATAAGTTTTCTATATAAACCATAGTAAGCTTTATCCCTCACAAGGGGAAATTTTATGAGATACTAGGGTCATGAATTTCACAATTTTGAGTATTTTAAGACTTCCATTCAATGTCAATAATTACCCTATACTTATAATTTGACCAACTTTGAATATTTTCTGAAACTTAACAAAAATACTCAAATATGTAAATTTCCTACATAAATTAACGTTACTTTCACACCCAGTCAAATGAGAAAATGTGAAACCCTGGTTTCATGTAATTCACAAATTAAATAACTGACTTTTTTCCCTTTTTGTAAAAACAACGACAATATCTTATGGAAATAATGATTTCATGCTACAGAAAGGCCACTATCTCAATCACGTATACAATATCCAGAAACCATAAACATCCCCATATCATTTTATACTGTGGTGAAAAGCTACAAACATCCCCATATCATTTAATACTGTGGTCAAAAGCTACAAACATTTCTATATCATTTTATACTGTGGTCAAAAGCTACAAACATCCCTATATCATTTTATACCGTGGGCAAAAGCTAAAGACATCCCTATATCATTTAAAAACATTGTCAAAAGCTGCAAACATCCCTAAATCATTTTATACTATGGTCAAAAGCTACAAACATCCCTATATAATTTTATACTGTGGTCAAAAGCTACAAATTCACATATATCATTTCAAGCTATGGTTATAAACTAACAATGTTCCTATATCATTTTTATCCTGCAACTGGCTGTGCCCTTGTCGAAATACAATTGTCAAATATATTTTAGCTGTATTTTAGCGCGTGCGGTAATTCGACAGAATTTCTCTCTCAATTTACTTAAATATTACGTTCAGTAACCCAATATTTATACATTAAATACATTTTTATCGTCAAAGGGAAGAAACTCAATATATATGCATTGAAAAAGTGTTAATATATATATATATATATAAACCATTCACCTAAAAACTTATTTGGAGAGAATGCAAAAGACAATTATATGGGCAGTATGATATTATACTTACTTGGGTGCATTTCGAGTGAGGGTCCCTCTCGTATATATACCTCCTCTGTAGACACCGTAGCACGAATTGTGCATTCCATGCTTGTTTTGTTAAAGTTAACATATGTTTTACTTATTGGCTGAAATAAGGCAAGGCATTGTATCACACTCTGGACGATGATGACGTCATAAGTCTGTTCTCCGCTGTCCTTACTACATCCTCCGTCATCGCTGATATCGTTGATTCCACCCAAATACCACTTCCGCTGAATTGTGGAAGAGGTGCATAACCCTAAATTTTGTTAAGAAAAATATCTTAATTATTTTACCATTGCACCATGTAAAGTATCACAAAATCTTTTATTTCGCCTTTATTCATCTTTTGTCATAGATTCATATATTTTGAATTTGAATTAATCTTTCGTTAATGAGTTCGTACTTTCCTGTTGTTTGGAAATGTCATGTACAAGTGAATTAGTGTGCATTGTCAAGATCCAATATCAATGCCATCTTCAAACATAATTAATTATGATCTGTTTATTTAGCGTTTTTTTGTGTCGTTCACTATTAAATGCTATGAGCTTGATATTGATTGTTATGGTTTAAACTAGAATATAGAAAGTTATACATTACGTAAACGATCCTGTCTTTGAGTCTACCCACTGTGCCAAACTGCTAAGGCATTTGACAGATAGTTGTTTATCTTGGAACAACCACATTGATTCTGTTTGTTAAAAATTGTCAAAAAAGATTTGAAGTTTTAAAATGTTCAGGAAAATTCATGCCCACAGAGGTGTTCAAACAATTGTATTCGTCCATCGTTTTACCACATTTCATGTTTTGTTAATGGATAATCTTTCAAGCTTTTCACTGAGAGAAACTCTCCATGACGAAGTTCATATTTTTAAGGCAAAATTTGTCTTCTGATGTCAGTCAGGATTCAATCAGGAGAACCCGTTCTTTAACTGCAAAGAAACTGTATATTTCTAATACAGAACAGCATTTTTCAAGCATTCCTTTAGATATATTTGAACTACCCCGTGGAATAATCTAACTGGCGAGACACGAAGCGCTACAGCTGTTTCGCCATTTGAAAACCTGTGGCGTCACAAATGTGAGCTACCCATTTCGAGTCAAAGATGTGCATTTCAGATAAATCACAATAACAGGAAAACGGAATAAACTACGACGTTCGCACTTTCTTTTACCATTTATGGTATGATATGAAGTACTTTGTAGCTAAATATAGCAAAATACTAAGGGTACACATTAACAACTATTTTAAATCAAGAACATAGTGTAATGCGAATCATTACCTGTGATATAGTGCTTCCATAAAGCCATAATTTCCTGTAAACTTTACCCTTATTGCAATATCATAGCATCATTTATGTATCATCAATTGTCATCGATGTGTTTAATTTAAGATGCATTTTTAAATGCTGCCCTGGTGTAAACAAAATCCACCCAAGTGTTTTTGTGTAAACTAGACGACAATCAACCTTGTCTAGATAAAGGAACTAATTATTGTCTTACTACTGTTAGTCTCTTTAAACGTTGTTATGTGTATTGCCCAAAGTGGACACACAATTTCAAGATGGCGTCGGCCTAACGGAGTATGAGGAAATACTGACATTCTGCCGCTAATTCTTAGAGTCATTTTATAGTTATTGTGTAATTGTCTGCAGCTGAGATCTCATGTCAGAAATGCTGATAATTCTCATCTATGTGAAAGTTACAAAATAACAAGAAAAGTCCAACATGTAAAAGAATATAGAAATTTATGTAATACTAATCTATAGCTAACGTTGAATGTAAGAGATAAGCGGGTATCTTTTTGCTTCTGCTAGTTTTCTTTGCTACCAATGTTACACATCTGACAATGATATTTGTATCGTAACAATCTTAAACATCTTAGCACATTTGGCATCTTATCTATTCAATAAATATTGAAATAAGAGTCCAAATCTAAACAAAAAGGAAATAAACGGAGTGGACATTAATTCTAAAAGTTTACAAGGCTATCTATACCCTCTTCGACAGTTGTTTATAATTTCGTTTAAACACCTGTAATCATACAATTATTGACATAACATGGATTAAACGGATACTACAACACACAGAGTTAAGTATTCAACATGAAATTTCAATAGATGTCTGCAAATATTTTACACGTTTATGAGTTAATGAATAGGAGTTTTATTATTTGTACTGATGTATTTAAAGCTAAAAACGTGTGTAACGATTGGGCAAAAATGATCTTAAAACTACCATATAAATGAATTAAAAAACGATACATCTTGAAATACCCCTCCGGGCCATATATACGCCTGTGGTAGTGGTCGGTATCGTATATTGTCACTTTTTCGCAGTGGTATCAAAATCTTAAAACCATTTGATGTTAACACCTGTGTTACAGGATCAAGACGAATCCAATCAGAAATGGTAATTTAACAGTTCTACCTCACACCTGAGGTACAATGGTAAAACAACTTACCTGTATACATGATATATAGAACTAGATTAATTCCAGCTACAAAAATAC